CCTGCTACCTCTTGGTGTTCTGTTTGTGACGACGCCATCTGTGAACGCTGCTTGCGGATGCACAGTAGAAACCCATCCTCACGTCACCATGACGTAGTTGACATGTCTGGAGAGGTCAAGGTAAGAAGAAGGCGAAGGGTTATGTGTAAGGACCACAAAGATGAAGACATTAAACTGATATGCAAAGACTGCAAGAAAGCAGTTTGTCAAACATGTTGTATTATTTATCACAGAAATTGTAAATGTGTTGTTGAAATTGAAAAGGAAATACCTTCAATGAAATCAAAGTTGACCAGGAATAAAAACAACTTGATGAAGAAATATGATGAGATAGAAGCTCTCGTTGACAAACAGAAAACAAGATCCAAAGAAGAATTAAAGCGTTATTTGCAAATGGAATCAGACATCAAGTCTATCACTAAGAAAGCAATTGATATGATCAAACGCAAGGAAAGAATACTTCTTGATGAACTGAAAGAAATGTCAGACAAACACATGAGGCAATTGAAAGCAGACATAAAGTCAGGAGAGTTGTCAGTACAGATGTACCAACAACAGGCGGAGCTGATAGACCAGACTCTACATTCTGAGTGTGACATGGATGTGTATGAGATGTATCAGGGATGTGAGGTCGGTGATGTGGATGCTGTCGGAGACGCAGACCTGAAAGAGAAGGGAAGAATAGCCAGCATCATGTTCAGACAGGACACGGTCAAGCTGAGTAGAGCACTGGACGATCTACAGCTGGGTGAGATAGACGTCCTGTATGAGAGTGTACTGAACCTGAGGGCTTCTCCTGTGTTACAAGACACCATTGACTTCAGAGTAGCAGGAGATGGAAAAGCAGCACAGGCCATTGATGTCACAGTACTTGTTGTGAATGGTACAGAGACAGTTGTAGTCACAGACTATAACAACACAAATGTGAAGTCCTTCTACACCAGGAATAACAAGGTTTCCCACAGTAAGCTTAGTCTGAGCAGCGGACCTTACGGTGTGACAAAAGTGAAACACAACCAGGTGGCTGTCACTGTGCCTTATACCAGCCAGATTGTAACAGTTGAAGTCAACCCTGACCTGGTGTTGCTGTCAACCATCACAACCAGGAAACAGTACATCGGTATAACGTCTCTGACGTCATCAACACTAGCAGCAGGTTCCCAGTCTCCTCCCTGTGTTGATATCCTGGATATGTCGGGACACGTGCTGAGGTCAATCAGTCCACTCCACAGTGGTGACAACATGTTACATTACCCAAGCTTCCTCTGTACTACGAGGAAAGGAGACATCCTTGTGTCTGACTGGGGATCCAGGTGTGTTGTTTGTCTGACCCCCGGGGGAGATGTGGTGTTCACCTACAGCCCTACAGGAGACACAGCACTGACGTTACCACGTGGTATCACAAGTACCAGCACAGATGACATCCTGGTGACAGATTTCTACCAGCACAGAGTCATCCATCTGACTGAGTCGGGGGAGTTTGTGAGAAACATACTGACATCAACGGACGGTATTCAGTGTCCCATAGGTATGTGTCTAGATGGGCGTGGTTGTATGTATGTGTGCTCATCACGTGGGGTTAAAGCGTTTTCACTGCACTGATTATGTGCTGACTGGACTGAAAAATATTGCTTTAAATGAACTACATATGTTTGCTATTTTGTACATTTGAATTTAAAATTTGAAATTAAAGTATTGCGCCACAATCATTGTTTGTATGTTTACAGTTAAAGAACATAAATTATATCAGTGAACCTATGGACAAATCAATAATTTTTGTATGTGATTGTTGGACATGGTAGATTTAGCGGGGATCTCTCTTTAAAGTATCTCTTTTTTACACGTCTGTCCTGAAATAAAATGTTGTACAAGCCAATTAAATTTGTAACAATTTGTTAAATATATGGTACAGGTCTGTGTATTCCAGTTTCAGTGTCTAGTTTCAATAAATGTATAGGGGATAATGGGATTTTGATAAATGATTTACAGCGCCAACAAACCCACTGGGATTCCGGTAAAGTATGTAGGCACCCATCAACCAATGCTTGTTGTAACTAAATGGATCGGGTTGTCAGGCTCGATGAGTCGTTGATTGCATGTCATCGTATGCCTCTATTGTGTGGGTCGATGCTGATGATAACTGTCTGGTCAAGATTCGATTCGCAGTTTGAAGCTCACGGAAGTTATCGGAACTAAATAAAATAATGAAACTGTAGAATCTTTGTTTTGAAAGCTATCCGACATGTTGATGTAACTGACAATTAACTTTTTTTTCATCCGCACTTGAAAGATTGAAAATGTCATTACGTTTGTTTGTTTGAAAGCATGCACGCATGTGCAGAAACGGAGCGGTCTAAGGGAGATAACTGTAGCAGTGTATTAAGTGAAGCGCAATAAAATATGTGTTACCTTCAATGCAATTGAATAATAAAACACCAGTGGTTGTAACAGGTGGCTGTGTCGCTTCGTTATTGGGTATTAAGCACATTTACTAAGTATCTCTTCTGAACTATAAGAAAGTCTGTTAAATATACAGGTGCCTATCTCATCTGTCACACTATAGACGTCTTAGCCTCAGATTCACTGATGCGCTGACACCAAACTCAAGCAAACCATTCCTTACATCAGTCTGCATCGAGTGACGTCACACCAGTGTTGGAGTCTGGTGTTGTTCTAGTTGAAGTTTTCTTCAACATAAAGTGTATTTCTTTACCCATGTCTGTACATACAGCAGGAGATAACCGCCTGTATACAGTTTCCACATTAAATCCTCCATGTAAGTCTCCTGCTGATGCACGGTCCAGGCACCTCCCCTCTACACGCCCTCTCTACACGCCCTCTCTACACGCCCTCTCTACACGCCCGGCTATGTATGCATCAGTTGTGTTCTCTCATTGACAGAAAGAAGGACGATGGCAGAACGAGGGTGTGCACTACTACCTAACTCTGTACATCGCAATATAAACACACATTTAACATGCACTAAAGAAGCAGGTGTAAGATCAAGCTATCGTATGCATTGTATTTTTTGCACGTCATCAAAAACATGTGGTAAAGAGATAACAGAGAGTAGTAAATGAGATGTTCCAGAGATGTGAGGTCGGTGATGCAGAGGCTGTCGGAGACGTGAAGGTCATAGTGTAATCCTTTATCATTTAGTTGACACAATACTTGAAGAGTGATTATACACAAGAAGCCAAAACAAACAATCAACACCTGAAATGACACAATGTTTCTATTTTCTCCACATACTAATGCTGAAATAGTTTCCAGCATTTGAAGATACCTTTGAAATATACCGAACATATAGGAACGTTAACGTAACCACAAGTTTATTACTTTTAATGCACCTGTATAACTTTTGTTTAATATGTACTTCAAGTTCCTACTATCGCGGGCAACCAGTTCATGTAATATGTCCCTGAAGCAAATTGCTCTCAGCCTGTCTGAAGCGGTGTTAGAATTTGGTATAATTGTAAGGGATGTGCTGCGCCATATTTGTTTCTGTAGCAGAGTCACGTGTTTAATTCACGATTATATTTCGTGACGCAGCTGTAATAGTAATGCCCTTCACAAAATTTAGATTTGGCATTTTCACTGTTCAAGGTTTATAAATCCAATCCTATATGTGTATTAATGTATCCTTAACATCAAACTGACCTGGTACAGCTTTACATTATATATCGACGACCGCCAAACCATTGCAAAAAATCACTACGGCAGGAAAACAACAATTTGGATAACCTTTGGATAGATCTCAGTAGAAATGTGGCCCAAATTGTAATTCCTAACATCAGTTACCAACTGGCCAAGCTCCTGGACTCCATGTTAAGAACTACCTTTACTGTCAAGGGTGTTTGTTTACTACGAATTCCACAGCTACACTGTAAATAGTGTGTGTTCAATTCCATCACTTTCCTTATCACGTACTTTTGCCATGTTAAGCATTCCGTTTAACAGCTAATCGCGTTGTGAGTTAAAGTGTGGGATAGACCCGTACCCCGACTTGAAACCTTGATACGTATACCTTTACTGCAGGTATTTTCTAAAAGGTGTTCTCTCTATGAGTATTTTAGCATTCCTGTATGAGAGAAATACCACGAGTCACACAGCAACAACACATTTATGAACACAGCACATTTTAAATCTCGGCGGGATGCGAACCTGCAACCTCTTGATTTGTTGGCCTTCACGTTACCACCTGTGCTACGGAGACTGTTGTCTTCAGAGATGCTAGCTTTCCGCGTCACCATTCACCCACTTTGGTTTATTTGAACATTTGTTTTGTTAATATTGTTCCACGTTGGTTGTAAGTCCTGGTGGTATTTGCGTTATGCAATCTGATTTGCGTATCTTATTTCAATATATAGTATATATATTTTTAAAATTCTAAACATGTTTAGATTATGCGGTTGTTGTGTTTAAGTGGTGTTTAGACTGTGAGACGATAGCTCATTTCATGTGTTGGGAACCTAATATTGTTTAGATAGAACACAGCAAATGTGTATTCCGGTTTGGATGTAAATACATTCCTAACATGATTGGATCTAAACATGTCATGTATGTGTTCACATTATAAATAAATTATTTACAGTATAGTCTGTTCAAGTGGCGTATCGGTATTGTAAAATGTAGCACATGTATTTTATGATAATGAAGATGTTTTTTTACTGAATGTCACTTTAACTTTATTAATTGAAACTAGTTTCCGGTCTGATCATGTATTACTGATGTCCTAAGGCAACTCGGCAACACGTGTCCCATCCAGGCTTTAATGACATTGACCCATACACACACACGCTCACACGCGCATCAGCTCACACGTACACATACACACACGCATACATACACATACACACGGACACACACTCACACATACACAAAATTACCCTCCACACACTCACAGACACGTACACACGCACACATACTTACACCCACACACACGTATACATACACTTACACGCGTACACACACGCACACGTACACGTACGCGCACGCACACACATACGCACACGTACATACTCACACGAACTACTTTGTAAAAGATTATCAAATGGGCGAGTCATATCCAAATACATGTACAGCGAACACTCACCGTTGGCCCAGCTGGGCTATGACCGCCCTGGTGCACAATTTCCCTCAACACCGGTTTTGAATTCAAAGCTGACTGCCTCAGGTGAGTGTGTGTTGCCTGTCTCTAGGGCTGTCGTCAACGTGTATCACAGTGCTACATTGCTGTCCTACTGTGTGTTGTGTTTCAGAGATGTCCATGTACACGTATACACGCCTAAAGTCTCTCACCACCTACCGTCCTCTCAGTGATACAATGTATATTGAGTAAGACAGCTGTCAAAACACAGGGCACAGTGCTGGTTTGTTTGTATACAAATTGTTTTATACATGCGCAGTTAAGATGAATTATGTTAGTTGTTTTGCCATGTCAATCATTATACTCCAAGACACATTACATTCTCACTTACTGCTTCACATTCCATCGATACGATATGGCAGGATATATAGAGACGTTCTGCTTTCGTTATGGCAGAGAGCGAGTGTTACCACATAGCTACATGTTTGTCAAGTGATCAGTAGTGGAAATCATAGTTATTTCTATGTACAGTAAGAATGGTAACTGTAGTTGCCTCTAGCATACCTACGTCATGTCATGAGGCACATTTCACATTCAAGTGACGACTGTACATTAAATTATTGACACGATGTATGGGGACCAATATGGCGTTTGACATGTTCTACTTTCGTTATGGTAATGAGATGACGTCACGCCTGAGCTATGTCACGTTGTCGATAAGGGTGCACACAGTTCGAGTATATAATACGAGCTGTATATACATTATAGATATCAACAAATACCCCGTTGATATGTCTGTCTTGCTCTGTGCTGAATACACAGAAGACCACCAGGCAGTTGTATTTATATCAGGATAGCATAGCAAACACAATCTAGAGTTTTGTGGTTAATCCTGACTGTTGATGACATGTGAAATACCTGATGACCAAGAGTTGAGTGAGTGGGTGAGTGAGTGTGTGAGTGAGTTGGCTTTGAACAGTCTTACAGTTATCTTACAGCGTCTCAGCCGATTTGATGCAAGTCTTAGACGGGGTTTTTTAAAATCGACCATCACGGGTATGGTGATGGCAAAAACTAGAATCATTATCAGGGCGAACCAGGATTCTAGCTCACAATTATTGGTTTCATGGGCTGCAACACCGCACAGCTATATCATTGCTTGGTCGTTTGTTAAATCATGTAAATACTTTTCAATAATAATCTCCATTGGATAAAATTTAATGGATCACACTAGAGTTACACTGTTGCATCAAACTTAGAATAAGTTGATCATTTATCATTGCTTGGTCGTTTGTTTTAAGACTTTTATGCATGCCGTTTATCTGCGTGTTGTTCCGTCTTACTATCGGACATCTACTAGTCACTAGTTCATCTTTAAGTTCACCAAATATTTCGATGGGTATGGCTTGTGAAGGCTCGTGGAAGGTCAGCATCTGGCTTAAGTAGAACGTTATGAAGGCAGGGGTGGTAGCTATGTATTGGCGTCCTGTTGAAGTCAGATAGTAAGACCTGAGCAGTACAAAGCTATGATTTCGCAGCTCGCCAGTTTCATGTATGGAGTATACTAGACGTTTCCCTGCATCACATGAACACGCTGGTTGTGCAGGCCTTCCTCCTGCCCCTTGTCTGGGAATATATTGAGAGAACTGCTCATACTTTCTTTCATCAAATGCATCTATATCCTCTTGTCGTTATAAAAGCAACAAAATCCTTTCTATATTCATAAGAAATCTCCATTGTACGAGTAGAACTATATCACGAACACGTAAATCCCTATCAAGTAGTGACGATGTATACCAAATGTTCGCGAAAGGACGATGAGCATAACCTGCTCCACCCGTGGTGCTCGTCAGAAACACATGCAAAGGCTAGTCAAATAATTGTTCGCCTGGTATCACTGCTGAATACAGATATTTAAGTTATAAACATGAAATAACATTTATTAACTTAATGAAGGTGTATGTAAGTGTTTTTAGTTCACCTGACTGAAAGTCAAATATGAAATACTGACCGAATGAATAAAAACATGAAGCATGCATTCTCTTTGGAAGCAACAAAATGCCGTTATTGCTTCAAGTTTGGGAACATTAAATGCAATCTTTCTGAAGCTGATTGCAAAAAATACTTTGTGAAAATAAATTTCTGAGATGCTTTACTAAAAGATCAAAGGCGACGACATTACTTTAACACTTTTTATTTACGTCATGCTGTGATGACGTTATGACGTTTGTCACTTGATTGTGTGGTTTGTTTACAGACCGACGATGCATGGTAGTGGTACGTATACCAAACCGTCGATTAACGTCAGTTGCAATTGATGGGTACGGTATCACATTGTGCAACCAGCTCGGTAAATAAAAAACGTCAACGTCTTGATTATCCCATGAAACAGGCCAAATAGGAGTGAAAATTATATGGATGGACTACTAATCAGTGATGACACCAGTTGTTCGCGTAAAATATAAGCATGTCCTGCCCTACCGGTAGCACCCAATTCACACAATTTGCATAAAAAAGTATGTATTGCCTGACTCCCCACAGCCATGTGACTCCATCAGTAGTAACACTCCAGTCCACTGTCATTAGTGGTGGACACGTATGTTTCAACATTTCCACCAGCGATACAGGACTTCGGCCATGTCTACATACGTTAACTCGGCCCCACAATGCACTTGTGGAATGTGGAGCGGTCGGGTAGCCTAGTGGTTAAAGCGTTCGCTCGTCACGCCGAAGACCCGGGTTCGATTCCCGACATGGGTACAATGTGTGGAGCCCATTTCTGGTGTCCCCCGCCGTGATATTGCTGGAATATTGCTAAAAGCGGCGTAAAACCACACTCACTCACTCACTTGTGGAATGTAAAGTGTTACGTGATTAGTGAGTGAGTATGGTTTTACGGCGCTTGAGCAATATTCCATCAATATCAGAGCGTGGGACAACAGAAATGGGCTTCACACATCGTACACATGTAGAGAATCGAACCCGGATCCTTGGCGTGACGAGCCAACGCTTTAACCAGAATGCTACCCCACTGCCCCGCCACGTAATTAAAATGAACCAGTTGATAATCATTATAAATACCACATCTAAATCTTACTTATTGCTGTTAGGGATTTTGAACAAAAGCACACTAATACGGATATTATCATTTGACTTATTTAACCCTGATCTACACATTTGTAACGTGAGAGCGCAGGCAATTAATTGGATCCGCCCAGCCTTTTCGAGGATTTAGAATTGATGGCGTCGCTTATAACAGTTTTCTGTTAAATGCATCTCTAATAAAACACAAGGTTAGTCTTAACTTCCACATCTTAGAAAAGTAATAAATACACTACAATGTACATTAGACTACACTGTATGCGTCTAGCCTTGACTTTGTATTATCATTTATATCATATCACACATGTTAAGTCTTTGTTCATATTCATATCGTGTGATGTCTGTTTGTCTTTACTACATTCAATCGGGAACCATCATGCTGTATATGTTTGTTTAAAATGGTATAAACAAAAACGTAGTTTCGTTTCAGAATATACTGGCATCTACATGCATTTATTTGTTTTTTTCATGAGAAATTAAATGATTTATTTATTTTTGTAGCTGTGATGGCGACCACTCAGAAGTTAACAGAACACTTCCTGACATGTACAATATGTACAGAGGTGTTTGACAATCCATGCACACTTGTGTGTTATCACACCTTCTGTCGGAAATGTGTCGTCAGCTTCACCAAAACCAGACCAGAAGCCACCAGTGCCAAGTCTCTCCTGTGTCCATTCTGCAGCAAGATGACGAAAGTGTCTTCCCCTGAGAAGCCAGTGGAGGAGTGGGCGGATGACATCAAGCCTATGTTTGTCATCCAGGGACTCCTGGACTCATTCGGCCCTGGATCTAAAGGTGAGCGTGAATACGGTCATTTGAACATATTCTAAATGTGTAATGTTCCATGGATGTGTCCGGAAGTCTTGGACAGGACAACAGATGACCAGTTGTCTTAAACGACTTTAATCCTAGTACTACGTACGCTCGTCCACACTAAATATGTATACTATTTGCTCCTTGAAATACACATACATGAAACCGTATTTTACTATTGTTAAATAAAATAGTATAATAATGGGGTTCTTATTGTTTCAGATACGACCTACTGCCGTTATTGTAAGGAGGAAGGGGAGACAACTCCTGCTATCTCTTGGTGTTCTGTTTGTGACGACGCCCTCTGTGAACGCTGCTTGCGGATGCACAATAGAAACCCATCCTCACGTCATCATGACGTAGTTGACATGTCTGGAGAGGTCAAGGTCAGAAGAAGGCGAAGGGTTATGTGTAAGGACCACAAAGATGAAGACAGTAAACTGATGTGCAAAGACTGCAAGAAAGCAGTTTGTCAAACATGTTGTATTATTTATCACAGAAATTGTAAATGCGTTGTTGAAATTGAAAAGGAAATACCTTCAATGAAATCAGAGTTGACCAGGAATAAAAACAACTTGATGAAGAAATATGATGAGATAAAAGCTCTCGTTGACAAACAGAAAACAAGATCCAAAGAAGAATCAACGCGTTATTTGCAAATGGAATCAGACATCAAGGCTACCACTAAGAAAGCAATTGATATGATCAAACGCAAGGAAAGAATACTTCTTGATGAACTGAAAGAAATGTCAGACAAACACATGAGGCAATTGAAAGCAGACATAAAGTCAGGAGAGTTGTCAGTACAGATGTACCAACAACAGGCGGAGCTGATAGACCAGACTCTACAGTTTGAGTGTGACATGGATGTGTATGAGATGTATCAGGGATGCGAGGCCGGTGATGTGGATGCTGACAGGAATGCAGACCTGAGAGAGAAGGGGAGAATAGCCAGGATCATGTTCAGACAGGACACGGATCAGCTGAGTAGAGCACTGGACGATCTACAGCTGGGCGAGATAGACGTCCTGTATGAGGGTGTGCTGGACCTGAAGGCGACTCCTGTGTTACAGGACATTAACGTGCTGAACCTGAACGTCAGAGTAGCAGGAGACGGAAAAGCAGCAGATGCTACTGATGTCACAGTACTTGTTGTGAATGGTACAGATACAGTTGTAGTCACAGACTATAACAACACAAATGTGAAGTCCTTCTACACCAGGAATAACAAGGTTTCCCACAGTAAGCTTAGTCTGAGCAGCGGACCTTACGGTGTGACAAAAGTGAAACACAACCAGGTGGCTGTCACTGTGCCTTATACCAGCCAGATTGTTACAGTTGAAGTCAACCCTGACCTGGTGCTGCTGTCAACCATCACAACCAGGAAACAGTACATCGGTATAACGTCTCTGACGTCATCAACACTAGCAGCAGGGTCCCAGTCTCCTCCCTGTGTTGATATCCTGGATATGTCGGGACACGTGCTGAGGTCAATCAGTCCACTCCACAGTGGTGACAACATGTTACATTACCCAAGCTTCCTCTGTACTACGAGGAAAGGAGACATCCTTGTGTCTGACTGGGGATCCAGGTGTGTTGTTTGTCTGACCCCCGGGGGAGATGTGGTGTTCACCTACAGCCCTACAGGAGACACAGCACTGACGTTACCACGTGGTATCACAAGTACCAGCACAGATGACATCCTGGTGACAGATTTCTACCAGCACAGAGTCATCCATCTGACTGAGTCGGGGGAGTTTGTGAGAAACATACTGACATCAACGGACGGTATTCAGTGTCCCATAGGTATGTGTCTAGATGGGCGTGGTTGTATGTATGTGTGCTCATCACGTGGGGTTAAAGCGTTTTCACTGCACTGATTATGTGCTGACTGGACTGAAAAATATTGCTTTAAATGAACTACATATGTTTGCTATTTTGTACATTTGAATTTAAAATTTGAAATTAAAGTATTGCGCCACAATCATTGTTTGTATGTTTACAGTTAAAGAACATAAATTATATCAGTGAACCTATGGACAAATCAATAATTTTTGTATGTGATTGTTGGACATGGTAGATTTAGCGGGGATCTCTCTTTAAAGTATCTCTTTTTTACACGTCTGTCCTGAAATAAAATGTTGTACAAGCCAATTAAATTTGTAACAATTTGTTAAATATATAGTACAGGTCTGTGTATTCCAGTTTCAGTGTCTAGTTTCAATAAATGTATAGGGGATAATGGGATTTTGATAAATGATTTACAGCGCCAACAAACCCACTGGGATTCCGGTAAAGTATGTAGGCACCCATCAACCAATGCTTGTTGTAACTAAATGGATCGGGTTGTCAGGCTCGATGAGTCGTTGATTGCATGTCATCGTATGCCTCTATTGTGTGGGTCGATGCTGATGATAACTGTCTGGTCAAGATTCGATTCGCAGTTTGAAGCTCACGGAAGTTATCGGAACTAAATAAAATAATGAAACTGTAGAATCTTTGTTTTGAAAGCTATCCGACATGTTGATGTAACTGACAATTAACTTTTTTTTCATCCGCACTTGAAAGATTGAAAATGTCATTACGTTTGTTTGTTTGAAAGCATGCACGCATGTGCAGAAACGGAGCGGTCTAAGGGAGATAACTGTAGCAGTGTATTAAGTGAAGCGCAATAAAATATGTGTTACCTTCAATGCAATTGAATAATAAAACACCAGTGGTTGTAACAGGTGGCTGTGTCGCTTCGTTATTGGGTATTAAGCACATTTACTAAGTATCTCTACTGAACTATAAGAAAGTCTGTTAAATATACAGGTGCCTATCTCATCTGTCACACTATAGACGTCTTAGCCTCAGATTCACTGATGCGCTGACACCAAACTCAAGCAAACCATTCCTTACATCAGTCTGCATCGAGTGACGTCACACCAGTGTTGGAGTCTGGTGTTGTTCTAGTTGAAGTTTTCTTCAACATAAAGTGTATTTCTTTACCCATGTCTGTACATACAGCAGGAGATAACCGCCTATATACAGTTTCCACATTAAATCCTCCATGTAAGTCTCCTGCTGATGCACGGTCCAGGCACCTCCCCTCTACACGCCCTCTCTACACGCCCTCTCTACACGCCCTCTCTACACGCCCGGCTATGTATGCATCAGTTGTGTTCTCTCATTGACAGAAAGAAGGACGATGGCAGAACGAGGGTGTGCACTACTACCTAACTCTGTACATCGCAATATAAACACACATTTAACATGCACTAAAGAAGCAGGTGTAAGATCAAGCTATCGTATGCATTGTATTTTTTGCACGTCATCAAAAACATGTGGTAAAGAGATAACAGAGAGTAGTAAATGAGATGTTCCAGAGATGTGAGGTCGGTGATGCAGAGGCTGTCGGAGACGTGAAGGTCATAGTGTAATCCTTTATCATTTAGTTGACACAATACTTGAAGGGTGATGATACACAAGAAGCCCAAACAAACAATCAACACCTGAAATGACACAATGTTTCTATTTTCTCCACATACTAATGCTGAAATAGTTTCCAGCATTTGAAGATACCTTTGAAATATACCGAACATATAAGAACGTTAACGTAACCACAAGTTTATTACTTTTAATGCACCTGAATAACTTATGTTTAATATGTACTTTTCTTACTATCGCGGGCAACCAGTCCATATAATATGTCCCTGAAGCAAATTGCTCTCAGCCTGTCTGAAGCGGTGTTAGAATTTGGTATAATTGTAAGGGTTGTGCTGCGCCATATTTGTTTCTGTAGCAGAGTCACGTGTTTAATTCACGATTATATTTCGTGACGCAGCTGTAATAGTAATGCCCTTCACAAAATTTAGATTTGGCATTTTCACTGTTCAAGGTTTATAAATCCAATCCTATATGTGTATTAATGTATCCTTAACATCAAATTGACCTTGTACAGCTTTACATTATATATCGACGACCGCCAAACCATTGCAAAAAATCACTACGGCAGGAAAACAACAATTTGTCATGCACCCTGTTCACGTAAAGTCACATTCCCCTTGTGGACAGACAATTTATTTTGACTTGTGTATTCGCATGTCGCTCAAAAAACCCTATATACCATTTCTCGTTGGTCATACTGACAGAGTAAGCCTTTCACTCATATTGACCTTTGGATAGATCTTTGTAGAAATGTGGCCCAAATTGTAATTCCTAACTTCAGTTCTCAACTGGCCAAGCTCCTGCACTCCATGTAAGAACTACCTTTACTGTCAAGGGTGTTTGTTTACTACGAATTCCACAGCTACACTGTAAACACGTGTGTTCAATTCCATCACTTTCCTTATCACGTACTTTTGCCATGTTAAGCATTCTGTTTAACAGCTAAACGCGTTGTGAGTTAAAATGTGGGATAGACCCGTACCCCCACTTGAAACCTTGATACGTATACCTTTACTGCAGGTATTTTCTAAAAGGGGTTCTCTTTATCAGTATTTTAGCTTTCCTGTATGAGAGAAATACCACGAGTCACACAGCAACAATACATTTATGAACACAGCACATTTTATATCTCGGCGGGATGCGAACCTGCAACCTCTTGATTTGTTGGCCTTCACTTTACCACCTGTGCTACGGAGACTGTTGTCTTCAGAGATGCTAGCTTTCCGCGTCACCATTCACCCACTTTGGTTTATTTGAACATTTGTTTTGTTAATATTGTTCCCCGTTGGTTGTAAGTCCTGGTGATATATGAGTTATGCAATCTGATTTGCGCATCTTATTTCAATATATAGTATATATATTTTTAAAATTCTAAAAATGTTTAGAATATGCGGATGTTGTGTTTAGGTGGTGTTTAGACTGTAAGACGGTAGCTCATTTCATGTGTTGGAAACCTAATATTGTTTAGATAGAACACATCAAATGTGTATTCCGGTTTGGATTTAAATACATTCCTAACATGATTGGATCTAAACATGTCATGTATGTGTTCACATTATAAATAAATTATTTACAGTATAGTCTGTTCAAGTGGCGTAACGGTATTGTAAAATGTAGCACATGTATTTTATGATATGAAGATGTTAATTTACTGAATGATGCTTCAACTTTATTAATTGAAACTTGTTTAGGGTCTGATCATGTATTACTGATGTCCTAAGGCAACTCGGCAACACGTGTCCCAAACCAGGCTTTAATGACATTGACCAATACACACACACGCTCACACGCGCATCAGCTCACACATACACATACACACACGCATACATACACATACACACGGACACACACTCACACATACAAAAAATTACCCTCCACACACTAACAAACACGTACACACGCACACATACTTACACCCACACACACGTATACATACACTTACACGCATACACATACACACACGTACACGCACGCGCACGCACACACATACGCACACGTACATACACACACGAACTACTTTGTAAATGAATATCAAATGGGCGTGTCATATCCAAATACATGTACAGCGAACATTTACCGTTGGCCCAGCTGGGCTATAACCGCCCTGGTGCACAATATCCCTCAACACCGGTTTTGAATTCAAAGCTGACTGCCTCAGGTGAGTGTGTGTTGCCTGTCTCTAGGGCTGTCGTCAACGTGTATCACAGTGCTACATTGCTGTCCTACTGTGTGTTGTGTTTCAGAGATGTCCATGTACACGTATACACGCCTAAAGTCTCTCACCACCTACCGTCCTCTCAGTGATACAATGTATATTGAGTAAGGCAGCTATCAAAACACAGGGCACAGTGCTGGTTTGTGTGTATACAAATTGTTTGATACATGCGCAGTTATGATGAATTATGTTACTTTGTTTTGCCATGTCAATTATTATACCCCAAGACATATTACATTCTCACTGACTGCTTCACATTTCATCGATACGATATAGCAGGAGGTATAGGCAAGTTCTACTTTCGTTATGGTAAAGAGCGATTGTTACCACATAACTACAAGTTTGTCAATTGATCAGTACTAGAAATCATAGTTATGGCTATGTACAGTAAGAATGGTTACTGTTTTTGTCTCTAGCATAGTTACGTCACATTTTTAGGTACAGTTCACACTCTGGTGAACGCTGACCGGTGACACGATGTATGGGGAACACTATGGCGTTTGACATGTTCTGCTTTCGTTATGGTAATGAGATGACGTCACGCCTGAGCTAGGTCACGTTGTCGATAAGGGGGGCACACAGTTCGAGCATATAATACGAGCTGTTTATCGATATCAACAAATACCCCGTTGATATGTCTGTCTCGCTCTGTGCCGAATACACAGTAGACCACCAGGCAGTTGTATTTGTATCAGGATAGTATAGCAAACACAATCTAGAGTTTTGTGGTAAATCCTGACTATGTTGTATTAAAACTGTTGATGACATGTGAAATACCTGAGTGAGTGAGTGAGTGAGTGAGTGAGTGAGTTGGCTTTGAACAGTCTTTCAGTTATCTTACAGCGAGTCAGCCCGATGTGATGCAGGTCTTAGACGTTTTTTGAAACCCACGATCACGGGTATGGTGATGGCAAAACTAGAAACATTATCAGAGCGAACCGGGATTCCAGATCACAATCATTGGTTTCATAGGCTGCAACACCGCACAGCTAATTCCGGCGCCTTTCACGTGTCACCGTGCCCCGAACACATCTATCAGCAAAGAAAACAATTTTAAATCATTTAAATACTTTTTAATAATAATCTCCATTGGATAACATTTAATGGATCACACTAGATCTAGAGTAACACTGTTTGTCATCAAATTTAGAATAAGTTGATCATTTATCATTGCTTGGTCGTTTGTTTTAAGACTTTTATGCGTGTTGTTCCGTTTTACTATCGGATATCTACTAGTCACTAGTTCATCTTTAAGTTCACCAAATATTTCGATGGGTATGGCTTGTGAAGGCTCGTGGAAGGTCAGCATCTGGCTTAAGCAGAACGTTATGAAGGCAGGAGTGGTAGCTATGTATTGGCGTCCTGTTGAAGTCAGATAGTAAGAGTGAGTGAGTGAGTATGGTTTTACGCCGCTTTTAGCAATATTCCAGCAATATCACGGCGGGGGACACCAGATCAGATAGTAAGACCTGAGCAGTACAAAGCTATGATTTCGCAGCTCGCCAGTTTCATGTATGGAGTATACTAGACGTTTCCCTGCATCACATGAACACGCTGGTCGTGCAGGCCTTCCTCCTGCCCCTTGTCTGGGAATATATTTAGAGGTCATACTGTTCTGTTTCTGAATCTCTAATAAAACACAAGGTTAGTCTTAACTTCCACATCTTAGAAAAGTAATGAATACACGACAATGTACATTAGACTACTCTGTATGCGTCTAACCTTGACTTTGTGTTATTATTTATATCATATCACACATGTAAAGTCTTTGTTCTGATTCATATCGAATGATGTCGATTTGTCTTTACTACATTCAATCGGGAACCATCATGCTGTACATGATTGTTTAACATGTGTATAAACATAAACGCAGTTTCGTTTCAAAATATACTGGCATGTACATGCATTTATTTGGGTTTTTTTCATGAGAAATTAAATGATTGATTTATTTTTGTAGCTGGGATGGCGACCTCTCAGAAGTTAACAGAACACTTCCTGACATGTACAATATGTACAGAGGTGTTTGACAAGCCATGCACACTTGTTTGTAATCACACCTTCTGTCGGAAATGTGTCGTCAGCTTCACCAAAACCAGACCAGAAGCCACCAGTGCCAAGTCTCTCCTGTGTCCATTCTGCAGCAAGATGACGACAGTGTCTGACCCTGAGAAGCCAGTGGAGGAGTGGGCAGATGACATCAAGCCTATGTTTGTCATCCAGGGACTCCTGGACTCATTCGGCCCTGGATCTAAAGGTGAGCGTGAATACGGTCAATGGAACATATTCTAAATGTGTAATATTCCATGGATGAAGTCTTGAACAGGACAACATATGACCAGTTGCTTTAATCCTAGTACTACGTACGCTCGTCCACACTAAATATGTTGTACTATTTGCTCCTTGGAATACACATACATGAAACCGTATTTTACTATTGTTATATAAAATGGTATTATAATGGGGTTCTTATTGTTTTAGATACAACCTACTGCTGTTATTGTAAGGAGGAAGGGGAGACAACTCCTGCTACCTATTGGTGTTCTGTTTGTGACGACGCCCTCTGTGAACGATGCTTGCGGATGCACAATCGACACCCATCCTCACGTCACCATGACGTAGTTGACATGTCTGGAGAGGTCAAGGTCAGAAGAAGGCGACGAGTTATGTGTAAGGAACACAAAGATGAAGACATAAAACTGATGTGCAAAGACTGCAAGAAAGCAGTTTGTCAAACATGTTGTATTATTTATCACAGAAATTGTAAATGCGTTGTTGAAATTGAAAAGGAAATACCTTCAATGAAATCAGAACTGACCATGAATAAAAACAACTTGATGAAGAAATATGATGAGATAGAAGCTCTCGTTGACAAACAGAAAACAAGATCCAAAGAAGAAGCAACGCGTTATTTGCAAATGGAATCAGGCGTCAAGTCTACCACAAAGAAAGCAATTGATATGATCAAACGCAAGGAAAGAAAACTTCTTGATGAACTGAAAGAAATGTCAGACAATTACATGGGGCAATTAAAAGCAGACATAAAGTCAGGAGAGTTGTCAGTACAGATGTACCAACAACAGGCGGAGCTGATAGACCAGACTCTACAATCTGAGTGTGACATGGATGTGTATGAGATGTATCAGGGATGTGAGGCCGGTGATGTGGATGCTGTCGGGAATGCAGACCTGAGAGTGAAGGGGAGAATAGCCAGCATCATGTTCAGACAGGACACGGACAAGCTGAGTAGAGCACTGGACGATCTACAGCTGGGTGAGATATACGTCCTGTGTGAAGGTGCACTGAACCTGAGGGCGACTCCTGTGTTACAAGACACAATTAACGTCAGAGTAGCAGGAGACGGAAAAGCAGTAGATGCTACTGATGTTACAGTACTTGTTGTGAATGGTACAGATACAGTTGTAGTCTCAGACTTCAACAACACAAATGTGAAGTCCTTCTACACCAGGAATAACAAGGTTTCCCACAGTAAGCTTAGTCTGAACAGCGGACCTTACGGTGTGACAAAAGTGAAACACTACCAGGTGGCTGTCACTGTGCCAGATAGCTTCCAGATTGTAACAGTTGAAGTCAACCCTGACCTGGTGCTGCTGTCAACCATCTCAACAAACAAACAGTACATCGGTATAACGTCTCTGACGTCATCAACACTAGCAGCAGGTTCCCTCTCTCCTCCTTGTGTTGATATCCTGGATATGTCGGGACACGTGCTGAGTTCAATCAGCCCACTCCACAATGCCAACAACATATTACAGTGCCCCAACTTCCTCTGTCCTACGAGGAAAGGAGAGATCCTTGTGACTGACTGTGAATCCAAGTGTGTTGTTTGTCTGACCCCCGGGGGAGATGTGGTGTTCACCTACAGCCCTCCAGGAGACACAACACTGACGTTTCCATGTGGTATCACAAGTACCAGCACAGGTGACATCCTGGTGACAGACAACTCTCGAGATAGAATCATCCATCTGACTGAGTCGGGGGAGTTTGTGAGAAACATACTGACATCACAGGACGGTATTCAGGATCCCTGGGGTGTTTGTCTAGATGGGCGTGGTTGTATGTATGTGTGCTCGTCACGTGTGGTTAACGCGTTTTCACTGCACTAATTATAGGCTGACTGGACCGAAAAATATTGCTTTAAATTAACTACATGTATTTGTACAGGGTTGAATTTGAAATTTGAGTATTGCGCCACAACAATTGTTTATATGTAACTAATGTTATATTTGGGATAACACTTTCTTAGTAAAGTACAGACACTTTTTTGGGTTGAGTCCCGTGCGGGATTCGAACCTACACCTGCCAGGGTGAGGAACCTAATCGCCAGCACACAAATTCAGTGATCTAACCCACTCAGCCACCGAGGCTTCCACAAAAATGTGTGCTGGCGATTAGGTGCCTCACCCTGGCAGGTGTGGGTTCGAATCCCGGACGGGACTCAACCCAAAAAAGTACTAGAATCTGTACTTTACTAAGAAAGTGTTATCCCAAATATAACATCAGTTACATTTGACCACTTTCTAAATGGCATTGTGTATTCATAATTGTTTATGTGTTTACAGTAAAAGAACATGAATTATATTAGAGAATCATATGGACAAATCAACTAAGTTTTGGTATGTGGTTGTTGGACATGATAGTCTCTTAATAAAGTATCCCTTTTTCACATGTCTGTCCTGAAACAAAATGTTGTATATGCCAATGACATTTGTAATGATTTGTTAAATATATGGTACAGGTCTGTGTATTCCAGTTACAGTGACTAGTTTCAATAAATGTATAGGGGATATTGGGATTTTGATATATGATTTACAGTGCCAACAAACCCACTGGGATTCCAGTTGAGTATGCAGGCACCCATCAACCAATACGTCTTGTAAGATGCAACTAAATGGATCGGGTTGTCAGGCTCGGTGAGTCGTTGCATGTCATCGTTTCCCACTATTGTGTGGGTCGATGCTATTGATAACTTTCTGGTCAAGATTCGATTATTTATACACCGGTGTCATACGGATGGAATATTGCTGATTGCAAAGACTCAAGGTATTGCAGTTTTAAATGACAAAATACAACTACAACATCTGACATTGCATTGATATAGTACATGTAATGATGTTTTGGAATTGAGTTTTGTGAACACATTGATAGTGGCGGAAGACCCAGTTGTAAATATGTGTGTTGGAAGATGGTGTTGATGAACAACAGGAGGCGCTGACAAAGTAATAGATTACTTGCCGCAGAATGAAAAACATTTTCGTATGTTTCTGGCCTCTGCTGGTATATTTGAAAACAGAAACCATGGCGACCTGTGTCCTCTTTATGACGTTGCTGTTCACTAACAAGCTATGAATACAAAGGATCATGCAGGATAAGGGTCATTTAACGGTGCTGGAAATGTCGCAGTTTGAGGCTGAAGGGACTTAAACTAAACAAAAATAATGAAACTGTAGAATCTTTGTTTTGAAAGCTATCCGACTTGTTTATATAACTGACAATTAGCTTTTATTTATCCGCACTTGAACGATTGAAAATGTCATTACGTTTATTTGAAAGTATGCACACATGTGCAGAAACTGAGCGGTCTAAGGGAGATAACTGGAGCTGTGTATTAAATGAATAATAAAACACCAGTAGTTGTGACAGGTGGCTAAAGACATCTAAGCCTCAGATTCACTGATGCGCTGACACCAAACTCAAGCATACCATTCCTTACATCAGTCTGCATCGAGTGACGTCAGATCGGTGTTGGAGTCTGGTGTTGTTCTAGTTGAAGTTTTCTTCAACATAAAGTGTATTTCTTTACCCATGTCTGTACATACAGCAGGAGATAACCGCCTGTATACAGTGTACACATAAGTTCCTCCATGTAAGTCTCCTTCTGATGCACGGTCCAGGCACCTCCCCTCTACACGCCCGGCTATGTATGCATCAGTTGTGTTCTCTCATTGACAGAAAGAAGGACGATGGCAGAACGAGGGTGAGCACTTTTACCTAACTCTGTACCTAGCAATATAAACACACATTTAACATGCACTAAAGAAGCAGGTGTAAGATCAAGTTGTGGTATGCATTGTACTTTTTGCAATGTGCTGCAGAATATCTTACTGTCAAAGACAGCTGGGACTGTCATGACGTGATCGATTCTCAGTTATGAATATACATTCAGGTAGCTCATTGAAACAAAACATGTGGTAATGAGATGACAAAGAGTAGTAAGATCTGACAGGGATGTGAGGTCGGAGGCTGTCGGGGACACGGACATGAAGGAGGGGGGGGGGGGGGGGGGGGGGGGAGAATATTACGTTAACGTTATTACAGAAACGTTAGTTCATTGTTTGAAGGCGTCAAATTCAGAATTACGCATTGTTAAATTGGTCATAGTGTAATCCTTTATCATTAAGTTGACACAATACTTGAAGGGTGATTATACACAAGAAGCCAAAAAAACAATCAACACCTGAAATGACATAATGTTTCTATTTTCTCCACATACTAATGCTGAAACAGTTTCCAGCATTTTAAGATACCTTTGAAATATACCGAACATATAGGTACTTAACTACAAGTTTATTACTTTTAATACCTGAGAATAATTCCTATTTTGTTTAATATGTACTTTTGTTACTATCGCGGGCAACCAGTCCATGTATATGTCCCTGAAGCAAATTGCTCTCAGTCTAAATAAATTTGGTATAATTGTAAGGGATGTGCTGTGCCATATTTGTTTCTGTAACAGTGTGTTCAATGAAACTAGATTCACGTTTTTAACTCACGATTATATTTCGTTACGCAGTTGTAATAGTAAAGCCCTTTACAAAATTTAGATTTGGCATTTTCACTGTTCAGTCTTTATAAATCCAATCCTATATGTGTATTAATGTATGTTATCCTTAACATCCAGTTGTCCTGGTACAGCTTTACATTATATATCGACGACCGCCATACCATTGCAAAAAATCACTACGGCAGAAAAACAACAATTTGTCATGCACCCTGTTCACGTAAAGACACATTCCCCTTGTGGACAGACAATTTATTTTGACTTGTGTATTCGCATGTCGCTCATAAACCAATTCTACAATTTCTCGTTGGTCATACTGAGAGAGTAAGCCTTTCACTCATAATGACCTTTGGATAGATCTTAGTAGAAATGTGGCCCAAATTGTAATTCCTAACATCAGTTCTCAACTGGCTAAGCTCCTGCACTCCATGTTAAGAACTACCTTTACTGTCAAGGGTGTTTGTTTACTACGAATTCCACAGCTACACTGTAAACACGTGTGTTCAATTCCATCACTTTCCTTATCACATACTTTTGCCATGTTTAGCATTCTGTTCAACAGCTAAACGCGTTGTGAGTTAAAGTGTGGGATAGACCCGTACCCCCACTTGAAACCTTGATACGTATACCTTTACTGCAGGTATTTTCTAAAAGGGGTTCTCTTTATCAGTATTTTAGCTTTCCTGTATGAGAGAAATACCATGAGTCACACAGCAACAATACATTTATGAACACAGCACATTTTAAATCTCGGCGGGATGCGAACCTGCAACCTCTGATTTGTTGGCCTTCACGTTACCACCTGTGCTACGGAGACTGTTGTCTTCAGAGATGCTAGCTTTCCTCGTCACCATTCATCCAGCTTGGTTTATTTGAACATTTGTTTTGTTAATATTGTTCCCCGTTGGTTGTAAGTCCTGGTGGTATATGAGTTATGCAATCTGATTTGCGCATGTAATTTCAATATATAGTATATATATTTTTAAACAATTCTAAACATGTTTAGATTATGCGGTTGTTGTGTTTAAGTGGTTTAAGCTCATTTCATGTGTTTGGACCCTAATATTGTTTAGATAGAACACAGCAAATGTTTGTTCCGGTTTGGATGTAAATACATTCCTAACATGATTGGATCTAAACATGTCCTGTATGTGTTTACATTATAAATACATTTTTTTACAGTATAGTCTGTATAAGTGGCGTAACGGTATTGTAAAATGTAGCACATGTATTTTATGATATGAAGATGTTAATTTACTGAATGTTGCTTCAACTTTATTAATTGAAACTTGTTTAGGGTCTGATCATGTATTACTGATGTCCTAAGGCAACTCGGCAACACGTGTCCCCAACCAGGCTTTAATGACATTCTATGAAATAAAATACCTCCTTCCCCTCCCCATTGACCAATACACACACACGCTCACACGCGCATAAGCTCACACATACACATACACATACACACGCATACATACACATACACACGGACATACACTCACACTTACAAAAAATTACCCTCCACACACTCACAAACACGTACACACGCACACACACGTATACATACACTTACACGCGTACACACACGCACACGTACACGCACGCGCACGCACACGTACATACACACACGAACTACTTTGTAAAAGATTATCAAATGGGCGAGTCATATCCAAATACATGTACAGCGAACACTTACCGTTGGCTCAGCTGGGCTGTGACCGCCCTTGTGCACAATTTCCCTCAACACCGGTTTTGAATTCAAAGCTGACTGCCTCAGGTAAGTGTGTAGTCTGTCACTAGGGCTGTCATCAACGAGTATCACAGTGCTACATTGCTGTCCATTGCTGAATTATTTTAGTTGTTTGGCCATGTCCATCATTATACCCCAAGACACATTACATTCTGACTGACTGCTTCACAATCCATCGATACGATATGGCAAGAGGTAAAGACAAGTTCTTCTTTCGTAATGGTGGAGAGATAGTGTAACCACATAGCTATACATGTTTGTCAAGTGATCAGTAGTAGAAATCATAGTTATTTCTATGCACAGTAAGAATGGTAACTGTAGTTGCCTCTAGCATACCTACGTCATATCATGAGGCACATTTCACATTGGTGAACGCTGTACATTAAATTATTGACACGATGTATGGGGACCAATATGGGGTTTAACATGTTCTACTTTCGTTATGGTAATGAGATGATGTCACGCCTGAGCTATGTCACGTTGTCGATAAGTGTGCACACAGTTCGAGTATATAATACGAGCTGTTTATAGATATCAACAAATACCCCGTCGATATGTCTGTCACGCTCTGTGCTGAATACACAGTAGACCACCAGGCAGTTGTATTTATATCAGGATAGTATAGCAAACACAATCTAGAGTTTTGTTGTAAATTCTGACTATGTTGTATTAAAACTGTTGATGACATGTGAAATACCTGATTACCAAGAGTTGAGTGAGTGAGTGAGTGAGTTGGCTTTGAACAGTCTTTCAGTTAACT